TCACTCGTTACTCAGGCTAATCAAGATCTTGATAATTACTTCCTTTCATTTCTTAAGGATTTTTTGTTCTTTTTAGGGTTTTATTTTGTGTTTTTATCAAAACACAAAATAAGTGCGTTAATTAATTTTTATGATAAAAAAGGAAAAAAATGATGAAGAACTAAAAAAATTATGATTTTATTCTTTTTTGTAATAACCATATTGATTAGTGTAGTACATGGACAATATCCTACTACCACCCCTCAACAAACCAATCAACAAACGAATATGCAACAAACTACTCCACCACAAATCAATGCAACAACATTTGATAATAAGTCATTTCAAAAACAAGTAAATGCAGATTTTGAAGAAGCTCAGAGACAAAGAGTGGAACGAGCAAATGAACAGAAAAAAATTGATTCTTTAACATTAAGTCAAATTGAAGCACAAAGACGACAAGTATTTGAAAATTATAATAAAATGAAATTAGAAGAAAAAAGGTTAAAATTAGCTGTTCATGGAAAACTTCCAGGACAAAAAGCTGATTTAATTTCTGATCCTTTATGGAAACGAATTGGTCTTCCTGATCCAAGCATTAATACAACAAATCCAAATATGACAAATGGAACAAATATGACTTATCCAAATCAACCGTTATTCACACAAAATAAAATATAAAAGAAATATAAAAATCATTTCAGTTAGTTTTGATTATTTATTTTCTTCTAACTTAGACTTAATATAAAAAATTCATTAATTTAATTATTTCTTGTTCATCTTTGTTGTACCTAAAATATTTGTTTTAATTTATTGTTGTTCCTCTTCTTCTTCTTCACTTTCTGACATAATATCATCATCTCCTGATTCTTCTTCTTCTGCATGATACTCTTCATCATTATCTCCACTATCGTCATCTTCTTCCATTCTTCTTTCAGTATTTTGTAATGTTTCTTCTAATTTTAACTGACTTTCTTTTAAGTATCCAACTAAGTTTTCATATTCATTTCTATTCATTCCTGTAAATTGTAAACTACCTCTTCTTCCTTTTAAATTAATAACAAAATCAAATGTTTTATTATCATTGCTTGCATTCATTCTTAAAATATCAACACTCTTAATATCCTTAAACATTATAATTCTAATTCTTTTAAATACAAAGATAAAACTATCACTCATTGGGAATAAGAATCCTTCATTTGTACTTAAATTACATTTTAAGAAATGACTGTCATTAGTTTTAAACTTATGTCCTGATGAAATAATTGGTACATTACATAAACTTCTAAATAACTCTACAAAAAGATCTAATTCATTGTCTGTCATTGATTCTTCTAATCCAGTTTTATCCTCAAATTCTTTAGTTAAATGTAATTCTGCTGTAACTTCTTCATTTGAAGATAATTCCATAACAAGGCATTCATAAACACTTTTTCCTTTTTTTAAAGGGTTAGATAAATTAAGAATAAAGAATGATGTGTCTTCATCCTTTCTAAGTTTATAATAACGAGCAATATCTCTATAATTAATTTTGAAGTCATAAGTTTTATTTTGTACTCTCACTGAGTCTTCATAAATCTTTACATCATAATGCCCTTTTGGTGACAAAAAGCCAATGTTCTCAAATAAACAGACTTCTTTACCTGCTGCATTGGTTGGAGTAACTTCAGCAATTTTGTCATATAATTCTGTTGCATTGTCTTTATCATTTTGTTGTTCAGTTTGTGGTGCAAAAAATTTAATTTCAGATAATGCATCTCCATCTTTAGAATCATCAAACTCAATTGAAACTTCAGTTTTATTGGAGATAGAACTTTTTGTAAAATCTTTTGGATTCATTTTGAATATTAAGTGCCCATCATGTGTTAATTGAACTGAATTTTTATCAATGTCTATCCTTCCCCAATTAAACCCAGAAACACAATATTCTTTCTCTTGCATTATTTGAGTATTTATTGAATCTTTTTTAAGTTCTTTTTAAATTATTCTTTACCATCATAAATAGTATCTTAATTTTTCTAGATTTTTTCTAAAACGAAAAGACAAAATTCTTAATACCAAAAGTTAAAAAACTATAAAAAAAAAGAAAATAAAAAATGCAATTTTCTCATGAAAACTACAAGAACTTATGGACACCGTTCTGTTGTTTCTGAACAAATTTATGGAATCAATGGGAGATCAAGTCCTAAAAAAATCAATCACGAACAGAACAGCCCTTCTTTAAAACAATTTGAATTAAAATTTGAACCACTCATATCAACATTCATTTCTATGCATGGTGGGGTGTGTCTTGAAAGTACGCGTCTTCATAACTCAATATTTATCAATAACTCTCCAATTATTTGTGACATGCTATCTTCTGATGTTGGAAGATATGCTGTATTATGTGCATTACAATTCTCATTAACTTTATGTCTACCTCACGATACTATCTCAATTCCAACACCAGAATTCATTGTCTCACACCTTATTCGCAGACACCCAAAAAGTAAAGCATTTATGGCATTGAATGGAACTGTTGGTATATTGAAAAATGAAGTTATTAAATATAAAAAGAATTCATTAAATTTGTGGAAATGTCAATATGACCTTATGCATGAATTTCTTACTAAAGAGTCTCATGTCCAAGAAGAAGAAACAGACTTGTGTGTAAATGTCTTAGGTGGAGATATCTTGCACACTCCAGTTGGTGCAATTCCTATCTTAGTTATTGATGAACCATTTAGGTGGGAAGGTTGTTCATGGGAGTGGTGTTGGGATAGTGTTGATAATTGGAAAGTTAATAGAGTAGAATTTATAGATAATAATATTGATCAGTTGCTTGGGAATGATTTTCCTAATTTACGTTATATTGAACAAAAGAAAAAAGAAGAAAAATTGAAAGAAACAAGTCCTTGTGTTTTACAAGAAGAAATACCTAAAGAAAAAATTCAAGAAAATAATGATGAAATAAAAACAGGGGTTCATGAAGAATTTCATCAAGAAAATAATGATATTAAACAAGAGGTTATCAGACAAAAGGAAAAAAGTATTATTGAACAAGAAAGTACTGAAAAAAGTGCTAGCCAAGAAGGTGAGTCTAGTTCAGATGAAGACACTTTTAGTCAATTTGTTGTCTCAGATAATAAAAATTTAAAAAAGAAAACAGTTATTATAAGCAAAAATGAAAAAGACCAAAACCAACATTCTGAGGTTATTGGTATGAGAAGACAAACAATTTCAGGTATTATTGAAATACCAAAATCTCCTAATGATCCTTCTTTAATTGGACGATCAAAAACATTTAAAGAATTACGAAACAGTAAAACAATACCAATTAAGATAGAAGCTAATAAAACAGAAATAAAAGACGAAAAAATTTCTATTTCGGAAGATTATAAAATTCCTAAATATTTACAAAACAATGAAATAGATCAAGGGATTAAAGATGAATATGAAGTGTTTAAAACGTTTCTTTCTTTTTCTTGTAATACTACTATTCAAGACTATATATTAGTTTCTATCAAAAGATTTCCAAATTTGGTTAAAGGAATGGGACTGAAAGAACGAGCTGAAGTTATGTATGATTTGATGCAAGGAGTAATGGATCGTACTAATAATTCACCAATTAAATTAGATGGGGTATATAGAAAAATGTTTGTTAAACATTTATGGGAGGTTTTCACAACATCTCTTTTTAATTTTCTTTGGCCACCCATTATTGAAAGGAATGAAGGAGATGTTGTATTTGAATGTAACCAAAGAGACTCAGAATTAAGCACAACTATTTCAACGCACCAATTTGTGGCTCCACACCATTTTGACTTAGGTTTTTTAGAAAGTGATTTAGGAAAAAGAGGGGTTGACCTCATTGGTAAAGAGTTGCGCCGGATTAATTCATATTGTTCACCGAGAAATAAATCATACCAGATTTATAATTGTTTCAAATTAGCAACAGAAGTTGTTGGTCGTCTTCAGTCCACTGCAGTTTCTGCTGATCTTCTATTACCAACTATTATTTATTGTATCATTTATTCTTCTCCATCAAATTTAGTATCTACAATAGAGTATCTCACTAATTTCACACCAAAATGGGTTGGATTACCTTCAGAGGTAAGTTATTATATTGCACATATGCATAGTGCCGTAAGTTTTCTCATGAGATTTAGTCAACACTCATTAACAATATCTCCCAATGATTATTCTCTGTTTTTATATTATTCTAAAAGAAGAGTTAATCCATTCATTCGTCCAAAAAGTATTTTATTGAAAGAGAATATTACATGGAATATTAACAAAAAGGAAGGAGAAAGTGAAGTCAACGCTATTTTATTCAACGTTTCGACAACTGATTTAGATGAAGAAGATGCACCTGTTTTATTATCATGTTATACACAGTTACTCTCTGATAATAAAGAGTTGCTAAAGAAACTATAAAAAAAGTATTGACGTTGTGTACATCCATAAAAAAACGATAAAAAATTTATTCAATCATTTTTAAATTCATTCAAGTTTTCTTAAACAATGTATTGAGGAGTATTTCCTTCTTTCAATAATATTCGTTCATCATAAGTAAATAATGGAGCATAATAAACATCCCACATATCTTTATGACTTTCCCAAAATTCTAATAATGCATTTTTCTTTGAGGTGATACAAGACTTAATAGTAAATGTAGTTGAAGCAAAATCAACAAGAACTTTCACAAGGAATTTAGGAATTTCAGTTTTATAAGTTGAAATTAACGATAGCACAGCAAGAATATAAGAATGTTGTTGAGACTCATTAGAATCTTTTTTAATTGCATTAGTTCTTAATTGTTCAATTCTATTACACACATTTTCAATAGGATGGAAAATATCAATAATAGTAAATAATACATCAGATGTAATTAATCTTATTTGAGTTTGGTTTGACTGTAATAATTCAAATACAAAATTCAACATCCTATCAATATGATTTTTTGTAATTTGGAATTCGTGGACACAAATTGTTACTGTGAAGTTTCTAGATAAAATTGAAAATTGATTCACAGCGTTAGAATATTTCTTCATTAATTCATATAACTTATTTAAATATAATTCAAATGCACATTTATTTAAAAAGATTGAAGAGTAATTTTCTAATGTTTCTACGACATCATTCATTACTCCATGAGTAGTTTGTGCATATGTTAATAATTTATCATAAATATTAAAGAGAATTGGTAAATATTGATTATTAATAATAAAAGATTGATCACAATTTGGGAATAATACTTTTGACACAATTTTATAAGATGATGGAAGTGCAATTTCATCAGTTCTAACGTCCTCATTATTAATAGGTAATTCTTGTACAGTTCGTGTTATATAATCTAAAAATCCAATCATTTGTTGTGGATATAACATTTGATTAATAACTGATTTTGAAGCAAATGTAATTGCACATTCACTAATTTGTTCTGTTGGATTTTTTACAATTTCCTCAAATCTTTTCATAGCAAATGACATAATATCTAATCGAATACGACTAATATTTAATAAAAACATTTCAGCTAAAATACTTTGTTTTTTAGATGCAACTTGAATAAATTCTTTAGTAATTCTTGGATCTGATCTACCAGAAAATAAAGCATGTAATCGATTAGCATATGCATAAACATCCTCATATTGTTGATTTAATACATCTTCAAACATTGTAACCAATTCTTTTTTTAATGGTTCAATTTCATTAACATTCAATGATTGTAACCCTTCAACACACAATTGGAATAAGACAATAGCACATCTATAATCTTCTTTAGTTTTTCTTCTAAGTTTTTCATTTGCAATATCAATTAAAACTTCAAATGCTTCTTTTCCAAGTATTTGAATAAATCTCAACATTAATACATAATCATTTAAACTAATATATTTTCCTTCATCTTCATCTTCATCAGAAACAATATCTTCTGCAGTAATCATTGAAAGATTTTCAATATATTTCTTTAATAATTTACGATCAAAGAAAAATTGTTTTAATAATTCTTTTTGTTCGTCAGGGAATTTGTAATGGACTGAATCTACAAGAAAAGCAGCTACATTTTGATATTTAGTAGTATAATTTAATACAAAATGTCCTTGTGAATCTTCAATTTTTCCATTTAATATTTCATTTTCAGTTATTACATGAACATGATGTCTAAGCATTTTACTATACTTTTCATATTTTTTGATGTTTTCTGGAGAATCTTCATTACCTCTAACCACTATAACAACATTCCCATGATCTCCAAAATGTCTAATATAATTCCTTAACAATAGTCCATATCTCTTTGGTAATGGTGCTTGTGCCACTAATTGTTTTAAACAATATTCAACAAATGAGTTAGGAAGTTTATTATGTGTTAATAAATATGCACTGATAAATTTTTGTAAAAACAAATGAGTTAATGGATGAATTTCACTTCCTTGATATAATAATGTTAAAAATTCTTCTGGAATTTCTTTTAATTGAAAAACAGGACTTGATTCTGCGACTAATTGGAATTGTGAAAATAATGTTGTTAGAGGAGTATTACTAAATACAGAAGGATCCTTAAAATGTATTGTAATAAAATGTTTAAAAATATCAAAGAAGATTGGAAAATCATTCATTGGTAAATGACCTACATAAGTTGATATTAATTTTAAACCAAAGATATATGGTTTTACATTTTGATCAGTAATAACAGTAGGTAAATGAGAAACTAATTGTTGAACAATATATTTGGCATTTTCTTCTTTAAAGAAATTAGATTGATTGGCATAATTATGAAATTCTGGATCAGAAATACAAATCGCAAGTAATTCTTCTTCAATAAATACATCAATATCCAAAGGACTTATTAAAGAATCATAGATATGTCCTTGTAATTGGAATAATAATGTTGTCGCTTGTTCATAATATATAATTGGTGGGAATTTAGTTTCAAACGACCTTCTTGAGGGATGAATTAAGAATGAAATACAACTTGGTTCATATGAAGAACTTTGTTTTTTAATGTAGATTCTAATAATCTTAAGGTATTTCTCAATTATCTTATTATCATCTTCAAAACATTCCCTAATACGTTGTGCTCCTGTTATAATAATTCTTCCAATATCTTCCCATTGAATTCTTCTTTCATACTGTGATTCTAACTGTTTTCTTATACATTCATATTTATTAGGTAATTGAACATTATGTTCTCTAATGTCATAAAGAATACTAGCACCTTCAATAAAACATTCTAAAACATCTACAATAGAATAAAATTCATTTCTTTTATTTTTTAATTCACTTGCATTAAATAAACATATTTCTTTTAATTTATTAAAATAAGTATAAATATATTTATCATATACTTGTTGAAAAAATTCTTTATCAATAATAATTTGAGGATCTTCATGAGCATTTGGAGTCATCTCATAATAATTTTCAAACCTCATTGGATATGTTGGTTTAAACAAAGGAAGAGAAAAAGTAATTCCACCAATTGCACAAATTTTTTTACAACAATCAATACTTTGTTCTCTAATTTTTTCTTTAGGATGTACATTAAAATGATCCAAAATAATAAATAATTGTTTCTGATATTTTTTAAAATTACATCTAATACTTAATGTTGAATATAATAAACTTAAACAATACTCTAATTCATTTTCACTTAAATTAAGTATTGAATATTGATCCCCATTTTGAAGACACATCTTTGATAATACTAAACTCATTAATTTATTTACAAAAGAATTAGAATAATATACAAGAATACCAATAATTACATTCATACAATCTAAAAGCGTTGTAGTATCATTTAAATATAATAATATTCTTTCTTCAATAACTTTTCTATGCTCACTTTCAAAATGAAGTAATGTTTCAAGTGCATTATAATATTCATTTGTAAATGGAAACACATCAAGATTACTTACATCTTTCATTAATGATATTAATGATGCAAAATATTCAACTAATAAATCAGGAAGAATAAAAAAAATGCTTCGTTGTATGGAGTCATTAGCTACAGTATATGGTGGACTATCAACTAAATAAAATTGTTTTGATAATGTGATAATAAGATCTACAACAATAGAATTAACATCAGGAATTGTTGAATTATATCTATGTAATTGAAATACTAAATTTACAATATCAACAGCTACTTGATCATTATCTTCAATAAGTTGTGGTAATATTTCAATAAATAATGATACAACTACAAGAAATGTTTGTAAATGATGGTCATCAGGCTTACAATTTATTAACTGACTATATTCTTCTATAACTAATTTACATACTCTTTTTCCATCAACACGCATTAACCAACGAATAATATCTTTACATTCTTGTGGTAATTGTTCACTAAAAAACATTGGTTTCATTGTTTTAAAAATAGTATCAACAAAGTGTTGAATAGACTCTTTATTTAATTGATTTAATAATCCTTCATGTAAGAAATAAACTACCAATCCTTTAAGAAATACAAAGACTGTATATAATCCATCATTATCTCCGGCTATTGTTCTATGAACTGATTCAAAAAATATACGAAGTTTTAACAATACTGGAGATATTTCATTGTTATGAACTTCTTCATGTTCAATTAAAGAAATAATAAGTAATGAAGCTACTGTAAGAAAATCATCATCATCTGGTTTAACAACAATAAGACCTTTAAATGGATTATCTACACCATCTAAAATACCATCCCCTCCATTAAACTCATAAAACAAATCATGATTTATTCTATTAAATATAAATTCTATATCATTTTCATTTATATTAACATCCTTTTGATTTGTTAATACATCAGTTAACATTACCATCATAAAATAATCCATTGCATCACTTGTATAAATACTTTCCCATTGATCCATTAATTCTCTTAGATATAAGTGTTGTGCCTTACTAGGCATGAATGTATTAACAAGAAATGATTTCTTTAATCCATTAGTAACACCTGAAAATAAATTAACTCTATCCATAATTTCTTGTGCATCTTCTTCTTTAAAGAAATTCTTAAAATGTAACACAAGAAATCCAGAATTGAATGCTATTTCAGTAGAATTATTATTAACTTTTTTAAATGCATGGCGATAATCTAGTTCTAATCCTTTAAACGTATCTTCAGAATGGTCTCGAAAATGGATTCTTCCAAATATTTGATCTGCATCATTAGAACATGTAAATGATGATAATTCTGTGTCAGAAACACCAAACATCCCTTTTACTTTAGCTGATGATAAAACCAATTCAATAACTAGTGAAATAGCTTTTTGTTGTTTATTATAATAATATTTATCACTGATACCATTGAAACAAAATTTTACTAATTCTCTTATTTCTTCATCAGTAAGACCTATTCCAGAATAAAGAAATTCTTGAAAATTATTTAATACATGTTTTAATGAAATATAATCTTTTTTTAATAATTCTTTATTTAGCCTAAAAATAAATTCATGTATCTCTTCTTGTAATACAGGAATTATTGGAATGTATTCTTTTAAATAACAATTCCATAATTGCATAATAGGATCTGGTTTTTGTTGCTGCATATCGTCGTGAATGATTTTGAAGTTTTTTTCTTTTTTTGGTCCATTTTAATAAACCCTATTGCTCTAATCTCTTCTTTTTGCATTTTACTTTTCTCTACAAGAGATCACTTCATCTCATCTCCATTCTGTTAACTATAACAAATGTCATTCCTTCTTTTTAAAGTATCTTTTTCGTCCAATTCAATTCTTCTCTTTTAGGTTATTCTCATTTATCGTTATATAAAACATAAATTTTTTTTCATAAAATAAAAAATGAAAAACATAAAAAATAAAAGTATATCACAATAAATAAAATAGGAATATCAAATTCAAACAAATCAAAAGGTATTTATTAATTATCTTTTCTATTTTCTTCAAAGTTTTTCAAATTCTTTAAAAGAACGAAACTAAATCATCCAAATTTGAAAAAAAATCAATCTTTTTTTCAAAAAACAATCAGGAAATTAAAAATATAATAAATTAAATTATAAAAGTAATATGTTTGTCTCAGTTCAACTGCTATAGAAGAAGAATAAAAATAAAAAGAAGAAGAACTTAATAATTAATTAAAGATTTAAATGGAACAAGAGCAAGAACTGTTTCAAGAAATTGCATCTGTAGATTTTCTTAAATTTTCATTTGGTTCTAAAGCTTATAGCCAACAATTAAAAGATGCATTTAAACGTTCTGGTTTAGTGTGTGGAGTTACATGTCTAATTAGATATATAAATGTTTGTTATTATTAAATTTAGTCCAAATGAATTAAAAAAGAAATAAGTAAAAAAGTAATCACATTTATAGGGAATTAAAGTAGTTTGGATGAGACATGAATTTGACTTTATTGGAGGTTCATTAGGATGTGCTGAAGGTGAAAAATTATCACGAGGATTTGAGTATGCTAGTTCTGAAGGATTACCTGTTATTATTGAAATAAGATCTGGAGGTGCTCGTATGCAAGAAGGTACATTATCTTTAATGCAAATGGCTAAAGTTAGTGTAGCTGTACGTGCATTTAAAAGTAAACACTTACCATTTATTACAGTTTTCCAAGACCCTACATTTGGTGGAACAACAGCATCTTATGCTATGCAATCAGATATTAGAATTGGAGTTTATGGAGGAAGAATTGGATTTGCAGGTGAAAAAGTTATTTTAAATACTGTTTATAGAATGGACCAAGAAGCATTTGATAAGGCATGTCCAAAAGGATTTCAAAGTGCACAATTTCTTCATGACCATGGACAAGTTGATTTGGTTGTACAACAAGATGACATTGATTCAACTGTTAGTAATATACTTCGAATACTCAAAGCTAAACAAACAGGAGTTATGATTGATAAACCTATAGAAGTAGAAAAACGTGGGACTATCGAAAGAAAATTTTCATACACCACATCAAGAACTGATACAAGAGTACAAGCCATTGATATATTAGAACATTTATTTGATGGATTCATTGAATTACGTGGAGATGGAAAACAAGGTGCTGATAAATGTATAAGAGGTGGAATTGCTTTATACCATAATTATCCATGTGTAGTTATTGCTACAAGAAAAGGACATAATCCTCAAGAAATGATTGAATCAAATTATGGTATGGCATCTCCTGCTGGATATAGAACTGCTACAAGATTGATGCTATTAGCTGAACAATTTGCTCTTCCAGTTATTACCTTGGTTGATACTCCTGGTGCTTATCCATCATTTGAAAGTGAAATTGAAGGACAACCTGAAGCTATTGCTACTTCATTATTAACTATGGCTGGATTAAAAGTGCCTATTATAACTGTTATGGTAGGAGAAGGTGGAAGTGGTGGTGCATTAGGTATTGCTATGGGAAATATTATTGGGATGTTATCAGGAGGATATTACGGAGTTATTACACCAGAAGGGGCTGCAAGTATTTTATGTAGATATAGTTCAGATGAAGACAAAGCCAATAGATTCCATCACGACTGTGAAGAAATTTCTCAAAAACAACAAATTTATTGTGTTGACCTTAAAAGGCTTGGAGTTATTGATGAAATTATTGATGAAGTAGATAAAGAAACATATGATAATTGTCCAATTTTATTAAAGAGAGTTAATGAGTTTATTACTAATTCTTTAACAACATTATTAAAAATGGAACCTTCTGAACTTGTTTTGACTCGATCAAAGAAATTTAGATTAATGGGAATTTATGGGCATTGTAATCCTACTCCAAAGAATTCTTCCCCTGTTCCTCGTTTAGGTGGAGCTACTCCTGCACCAATTGCATCATATAAACCAGTAGCAACTCCACAACAAATAATTACAACACAATCAGGAAATGCAGCTGGACTCATTAACTTTATTGCTGATGTGACTGTTAACGCAAACATCAGTTTAAGAAATAAAAATGTACCATCAGATTGTTTTGTTATTAAACGTCTTGAACCAGAAAAATTAATTGAAAAAGCAAGAGTTGATAGTCCCAAAGGTATTTTAGATAGTCAAGGACCAGATGCCCTTGTTGAGTGGATTAGAAATCAAAAAGAAGTATTAATTACTGATACTACTATGAGAGATGCTCAACAATCATTATTGGCTACTAGAGTTAGAACAGCAGATTTGTTAAGTGTTGCAGAAGAACATTCTTGTCAATTAGATCATGCATTTTCAATGGAAATGTGGGGAGGTGCTACTTTTGATGTATGTTATAGTTTCTTACATGAGTCTCCATGGGAAAGATTAAGATTATTAAGAAAAAGAATACCAAATATTTTGTTCCAAATGTTATTACGTGGAAGAAATGCAGTTGGATATACTAATTATCCAGATAATCTTATTAAAGAATTTGTATTCCAAGCTGCTAAGAATGGAATGGATGTATTTAGAATATTTGATTGTTTTAATGACGTTAATTCAATGGTTACATGTGTAAAAGCTGTTAAGGAAGCTAAAAAGATTGCAGAATGTTGTATTTGTTTCACAGGTAATTTCTTGTCTCCTGATGAACATATATATACATTAGACTATTATAAAGAGGTAGCTAAAAAAATTAATGAAATAGGAGCACATTGTATTGCAATTAAAGATATGGCTGGTTTATTTAAACCACAAATGGCAAAACCGTTTATGAATGCAATGAAAGAAGTTACTGATCTTCCTATTTTCTTCCATTCACATAATACTAGTGGAACAATTATTAACACTCTTATTGCCTTAACAGAAGCTGGAATTGCAGGTGTAGATGTTGCATTACCAGCAATGAGTGACTGTACATCACAACCTTCAATGGGAGCATTTTTAGCTTGTATTGAAGGAAGTGAAAGAGCTCCACAAATTAATTACCGAAAACTTGAACGACTTGATTCTCATTGGAGAAATATTAGAAGTTTGTACTTTACTAATGAAAGTGGTATGAAAGGAGGAACTACAAAAGTATATGATCATCAAATGCCAGGTGGACAATATAGTAATTTACAAGCCCAATGTAAAGCACTTGGATTATGGGAGAGATGGGATGAAATTACAAAGATGTATTCAGATGTTAATAAAATATTAGGAGATATTATCAAAGTAACACCTTCAAGTAAAGTAGTAGGAGATCTTGCTCTCTTTTTAGTTAATAAAGGATTAAAAGCAGAAGATGTGTTAAATCCAGACATACCAATTGAATTTCCAGAGAGTGTAGTTGGATTAGCTTCAGGTAAATTAGGATATCCACATAGAGGTTTTCCAGAGAAATTTATTGAAAGGGTGTTAGGAAAGAATAAAGTTATTAAAGTAAATGAAAAGTTAGTTGATATGGATTTCAGTCAGGCAAAGACTTATTTACAAAATAAATATGGAAGAGTTTTTAAAATAGAAGAAGTTGTTAGTTATGGACTTTATCCAAAACAATTTGAAGCTTATTTAGAATTTTATAAAAAATATGGTGGAGATTATTTACTTACATTACCAACATTAGTATTTTTATATGGAATGAATATTAATCAAACTATTAATGTATATTCCATTGATCCTGATAATTTAGAAGATGTAACAATCAAATTAATTAGAGTTGGTCCTTTGACTCTTGAAGATACTAGGTCATTAGCATTTGTTGCCAATGGTTGTAGACATGATGTTAAAGTAAACGAAACTCAAGGACAAAGATGTACTCTTCAACCAGCTGATAAAAAGAATATTACTCATTTAGCATCACCGTTATTAGGAAATGTTGGAACAGTATTTGTTAAAGAAGGAGATGAAGTTGTAAAAGGAGCACCTATAATGACAGTAGAAGCAATGAAAATGAAAATAACTGTTGGTGCACAATTTGATGGTATTGTTAAAAAAATAGTGGCATGTGAAGACTCAAAAGTAGAGAAAGACACTCTTCTTGCTATTATTATTCCAAGTACTACAGAAAAATAAAGAATTATTGAATTTTCTTTTTATTACTTTATTTATTATAAGAATTTTACTTGAATAATTAATTTTCAAAGTTAGAAGATATTAAAAAGTTGTTTCATTGCCTGTTTGTGATTAATAAAAAATAAATTATTCTATAAAAATAAAATAATCTCTCTTCTTTTATTTTTCACTTTTTATGGAAAAATTTAGGGTATTATCAAAAAAAAAAAAAACTATCGAGACAGGCATAAGAAACAACTAATATATTGGATAAATCAATAAAAACAAAAAAATATCCCGATAAAATAGTAGTAAATTAACGAAAAGTTTTAAATTTAGAAGTAATAAAGGTGAAGATAATTTTCATAAAGGAAATGCCTATCAAAAAAGAATGGAAAAATGTCAAATAGAAATAAGAGAAGTTACAAAAAGGAAAGAAAAGAATATTTGCCTGCCTACTTGAATATAAAAGAATATTTTGAATTAATAATTTACAAATAATCATTAATTCAAATGGTTGCATCATTCTTCATTATTGCTTTGCTTCTCTTTACTCATCAATCCTTTGCTCAAACTTATCAAGGAGAGCATTGTGATCTTGGGTGTTTATTAAAGAAACTTAATCTTACAATAGAACTTGGTAGAAATGATGCATGTGCCAGTGATATTAGAACTGCCCAAATGTGTTTTAAATCAATAAATATTAATTCAATTGAACTTGGTGAATTAACTACTTCAGAAGATAATGTAATAAATCCACAATCATTAACAGTTAATGTTGGAGTAAATAGTATATATGCTAAAGCTGTTTTTTGGTTATACAAAAACACTGATGCAGAAGTTGGTGAAATGGAATTTGTTGTTAAAAATATTAAAGTGAGTATGGCTCTTGATTTTGAAACAGAAGAGTATCTGGGATATAATATTGTTAAAAAAGTATTTACTAAAATAACTGTTCATGACGGAATATCTTTTGAGAACGTTGTTTGTACATGTTATGATGGAGGATTTATTAGTGACCATACTTGTTGGTGGATTAAAACTACTGTTGATATAGCTAATGGACTTCTTGATAGTATTGTTCCTACAGTACTTGATAGTCAAATGTCTAAAATTGAAGAATCAGTAAATACTGCTTTAACTGATTTATTTGCTGATGTCAATGATAATTATATTAAACCATATATTGGTAATCTTGACCCTCAATATATTCCTGTTCCAGAAGGAATGATGAACGTAACTGAAAGTTCAATGTTTGATATGGTTTCTTGGGCAACAACTTATTTACTTGGAGGTAATACTTCACTTGGATTAAATAATTTAATCAATAGATTCACACAAAATACAGGAAATATTGTGGTTGGATCAAATAATAATGATACATTCTCAGATTTGTCTCCATTAATTGTAGAATTATTAACTTTCAATGATATTGATTTAGGCGATCTTAATGCTACTTTGGATTTCGGAATTACATTCTTTAATATTAGTGGATTAAACACTTGTAGTAAAATGGAATTCTTTGAGCCATTAAGAAATACTATTGACCCAGTTACAAATCAATCAATTTGTAATACTTTAGATACATGTGATCAACAATTAAAACTTTCATCTGCCCTTGATCGTTTAGAAATTAATATAACATTTGCACTTAATATTACTTCTAATAGTACTACACTAGATATGGAAGGAGAGGTATTACATGAAGAAGGTAATTTATATATTAAAGTAACTGATAATTATATGGAAGGAAGAGTTCAAGTTGCTATTCCAGAAGGACAATTTGAAGAGTATTCAAATAACCAATGCACTAATCTTACTTGTTGGTTAGCATTATTCCAAAATGGTACTGGTATTCCATACATTCAATTTAATACATCATTGGATTCTTTACATTTAAGTGCTGGATCCCCTGATGCAACAAGTGAATTAGATAGAGGGGTTCAAAGTTTAATTAATTCTGTTGCTGATGTATTTATTAATAGATATAGAGCAGTTATTCCTGTATTCTTAAATGGATTAGTCAATAATCTTGGAACTGGTTTTATTAATGATTACCTTAATGATAATTTAAATGCTACTTGTGAAGAAAATCCTGATCCTGAAGTAAAAGAGTATAAACCAGCTATTGTGGCATCAACAATTTCAATTGCAGTTGTATTATCTATTATTTTATGTGCTATTGCAATTATTGTTTTAGTTGTTAAATGGAGATTTGGAAAGAATCATGAAGAGTCATCTGTAACAACTACAGGAGAGAGTAAAGAAAGTGATTCATCAAGCGAAGGGGAAAAAGAAAAGAAACCATTTTTACAAAGATTAAAATCATTCCCATTGTGGTTCTGTAAACAATGGTTAAGAACAGATGAAAAAGGAGCATCATTATTCCTTCATCCTCGTGTTAATATTGTGATTAGAGTTATTATGCCATTCTTAATTCTTTTGAATATTGCATTATTCATTACATCTAATACAGGTACAGGAGCCACAGTTAATGCATATATCTCAATTGGAAGTGGTCAAGTTATTACAATGCCAGTTTCTGATTTTGGGTTAATGAATTCAGTAGAAGATATGTGGACAGCTGGAGTATATCCACTTGCTGTTTTAATTATGGTATTCTCTGGAATTTGGCCTTATACCAAATTAGTAATTTTATTATTCACATGGTTTATGCCATCAACATTAGTTGTTCCTAAAGTAAGAGGTATTATTTTAAAAGTATTAGATGCGTTAGGTAAATGGTCTATGCTTGATTCATACGTTATGGTATTGATGATTGTTTCATTTTTTCTTTGATATTCCATTACCAATAAGACATCCAGAATCTATTAATGATCCAGTTAAGATCAATTTATATGTTTATCCAGCATATGGATTTGTTACATTGATGTTAGGAACTATTGCATCATTAATTATGTCACATGTTGTTGTA